AATATAAGTAGCTGTTGATGTTGTTAAATTAAGGAAACTTCACACTCTTAACAATACAATACAAGGTGTTTGCTTTTGGCCCGGGGACCAACATTTTGTTTTAGTTTTGGAGTCTTAAATAAACCCCTGCTTTAGATGAAACTACCCACCAAGATAACACGAAGTTCAAATAAGCTCAACCTTAAACATCTATTATTACTTTTGATACTTGTACATTTTGCAGACAATACCTACACACCTTTACACAAGTAAGATTCTAATTGCAGGCATTTAACTTCTAGTGGAGCGTTTTTTAAACTGTGGTTTTACCACTTTTACTTTAGTAAAGGATCTGAATACTAAATACCACCATTGTGTTTTTTTACAGACCAGGAAAGGGTTTTGCAGAGGAAGTTTCACACTATTTTGCTTCCAAGTGGGGAATTACAGTTGGTCGTGAGTCGAACCACTTCGCCACAGAACGCCAATCAACCCTCAACAAGTAGCCAATCATCACAGGTAACATATTATTACTATAAATCTTTACTGGCACTGTCATGGTTATGGTAAACCCCATCGTCAGAGCTTAATGATCTGGTCCGACCGGTTTTCCAGGGCTTTCTCAGCAGTGTCAGTATCTAATAGTGTCATAGTGCTGTTGACAGTTCTTACAATATCGTTTTAGAATTTATAGATTAACAAATGCAGTATATTATTATTAGACTTGCTATATGTTAATTAATTTGTTTGATATTCCTTTTCTTCTTTAGACATTCACAAAAACAAACACAAAAGGCCTTGAGAAGATTTTCAGGCTAGATATTTTCCTCCTGTATTACCTGAGGGACAACCCTAGGGCACTTAAAGTCTTACAGAAACAACTCTCTGTTATCGGCTGCACGGTGGAGTTCGATCTAGATGAAGAGGAGGCAGTGGTTAGGGGGGATGTTGAGAAGGGGTCTGGAAGTGCCTTCAGTGCTGCAGAGAACTGGGAGATACAAGTGGATCGCGTCCTCATCGGTCTTACTGAGCGCTACCTCTGCTATCACGTGCTTGAACCAAAAAAAGTAAAAATCCTGTTGCAGGACCGCTCCTTTGTGACTGATGATATCAAAGTGTACACAGAGAGCAGTTATGCTGTGGTTGTTGGAGAGGTTGAGGTTGTAAATCAGAAGATTGAAATCCTGGAAAAGAGCCTGCCAACCAGAAAAGAGTTACCAGTTGTGGAGAAGCAACTCCAACTGATAGAAGAAGAGTTTAATCGAGAAATCCACGCACTTTGCCCAGAGGTTAAAGTCCACAGAGGTAACGCCATGATCATCCTGGAGGGACCAGACAATGACGTGCAGTCAGGAGCTACAAAACTTGATGAACTGATCAAAAAGGTACAGGAAAAGAGAGTTACACTGCCTACAGCTCTACTTACCTTCATAACATCCAGCGGTGCCATCTCCAAGTACCAGGCTCGCTTCCAGCAGAGACTCAGACATCCTGTTCTCCTAGAGGTGGGGTCAGATCTGGTTCTGTCCAGTTTGTCCTCTGATGCCCTGGATGAGGCTATGGCAGCACTGCGGAGAGACTTGAGCGTGGACAATGTGCAAATACAGGGAGCTGCAGCTGTACCTCCAGATCTCGACAAAGTGAAAGAAATTCTGATCAAAGCCAAGAACGAGGCAAACTGTCGAGAGCTCAGAGTGGACGTCAGCTTCATCCCAGACCCCAGCAGTACCGCAGCCATCAAGGTACGACTAGTGGGCTACAGTGAAAATGTGCACAAGCTCAAAGAGGTTCTCCATGACTACCAGATGAACCAGGCTGAGACACAAGAAGTGCTGAACCTGCCATATCCTGAACTGGTTGACTGTTTTGATAAAATCTTAAAAATGATTGGTGTGAAGCACACCAAGGTGACCATTAAAGCCTCAAATTTTCCACAGCCCTGTGTGCTTGTGTCTGGCCCTCGCTGTCAGGTCCGGGAGGTCCAGGCAGACCTAAACGCAACTCTAGCCAGTCTGGTATCAGATACTTTGGTTCTAGATGGACCAGGGGCTCAGCTGTACTTCCAAGCAGAGGGTAAAATGAACAAAGACCTGATAGAGAGCTCCTGTCAGGTCCTTATCAAGGAACAACAAGGTCTGTCCTCAAATGTGAAAACTAAAACACAAAGCATTAGCTGCCAGAGGAGCCCTGTTTCCCAAAGGCCCCACGTCACTCCTCGGAGCACTACAGTCAACAAGACAAGCCTGGAGATCAAGCTCGGCAGTTTGGTGGATGAGCAGGTTCGACAATTTCTGTTGTATTTTACATAAAGTACGATAGCAGCAATGAAATACTACTGATATTTCACATTATTTCCACAGGCGAATGTGTTGGTGGTCCCCATGCTCAACAAGCAGCTAAAGTCTACTAATATTGGTAAATGCCTGTTGAAAAAAGCAGGAAATGCAATCAAGTCAAACTTTGACTCGGTGGCAGCGAATTGTACCGTTGCTCCTGGTGATGTTCTGCAAGTGGCTGGGCCTCCGTCTCTGGGCTGCACCAAGCTCTTCTTCATTGAATGCTTGCCATGGGATGGATTCAGAGGGCAGAGTGTGCAGGTAAAGTGAAACACAACTCTACAAAATTCAAATCTGCTCTCTATGCTGGTTTATATTGCAAATTTTTGAAAACAATGTGCCATGCAGGGGTAACTTTGAAAACACTGTGGAAACATCAGATTTTTGTCATTTTGTAGGCGCTAAGCAATGGGCTGAAGAAGTGTTTGGACCTCTGTGTACAGCAGCAAGTGTCCTCAGTGGCATTTCCAGTTATCGGACCTGGAATTGTTTTAAAATTCCCGCTGAGGGAAGCCATTCAAGTGCTGACTGAGAGCATTCACCAGTTTGGATTGTCTGCATCCTCTGGGCCTCTCTCCACCATCCACATCATCATTAAACCAGACAATCCTGATTCCGAGGAGGTGACTATCAACACTTGGACAGCTGTTGCAATTGGTTTGGATGATGCATGCTTGCAGGATTTATTGATGAGTGTTTAATGCCGGTGTTTTTATTTACAGAGTTACCATGAAATCTACAAGCACCTCAGTTCAAATATGAACCAGGGAGGCCAAGGTAAACAAGACATTTCTGTCAGCAATTAAATATTTCACCTTTTAAATTATCTGAATTATCAGATTAAATATCAGATTAAATATGAAACATGCTGTGTTGTTCTTCCTCTCAGCAATCTTCAGGTCACTCACCAGTGACCTTGATGACATCACAATGACAGTAGGAGGCGGGGTTAAACTACAGCTGGTGTTTGGTGACATCACTAACGAGACTACAGATGCTGTGGTGAACACGACTGACTTCGTAAATTTCCAGTACGGTGGGTGAGAGCTGCTGTAACCAAGGATTTCCTGTTGAGCAGAAGACCATGTTGTAACTATTGTTTTTAGCCACTTTAGCGGTGTGGGACGGCAGTGTAAGGCAGTAGGTTTATGACTTCATTAGGCACAAATATCCGTGGTGCCCAGAGGATGAATCCTAATTACTTTGGTCAAAATATAAATTGGTCCAATACTTTGGTTTATGACAAAATACTTGCAGAACTAATTCCATTCCCTGCAGTCTCAGTTGTACTAGTGCTAAAGTATGCTAACATGTTTATATTTGAGCATGTGATGCAGCTGATGTTAGAATTTAGGTCAAATAACCACTGTGCCTAAGTATAGCCTCTCAGAGCTGCTAGCATGGCTGTAGACTCTAAGCATGGTCCTGTTATAAATACAATCTTTACTCTGCAGATGGTGTTTGCAAAGACATCTTAACCGTAGCTGGACCAGAGGTGGAGGCCGAACTTAAAGCAGGTGAGGACAGAGGACACAATAGACATTTTCACAACACATGCTTTACAGCTTCTTACTTAAGTTGTATTTGTTGTCTTGTGTGCAGCAAAAGTGAACCGAGGGGAAGTTTTTGTATCCCAGTCTGGATCGTTCCCCTGTGAAGCCATTTTACATGTGTGTGGAGAAAGGGATGCAGCTATCGTCGAAGAACTGGTGTGTGGCATCATCGAACATTGTGAATTATATGGATTCACATCCGTGGCCATTCCTGCCATCTGTGCTGGTAGGTATTCTGTAAGACTTTCTAGATGTTCAAAAAAACCCCACACTCATTTAATGTCAGTTTTTTAGCTCAAATTAGTGTCAGTTTTAGTTCTGCCAGTAAAAACTCAAACCATTTCGCAGGAACGGGAGGGTTGGAACCTGGAGTCGTGGCAGCTGCCATCATCCGAGGGGTCAAGGCTGCCATTATGTCCACTCCTCTCACCAGTCTCACTGACATCCACCTCGTCCTGATCAAGATCAATGTCTTCTTGGCGTTTAAAGAGGAAGCAATGCAAATGTTTTCCACTGCTGTAATCAACAGAGGTCATTTTCACAAACAGCCTTCTTCTTTTGTGTTTGCTTAGAAATGTGTCTGGTTTTTTTAATGGGAATGTCATTATTTCATTGGGGATTTTAACTAATTGCTATCTTTTGACCTACTTTGCAGTGGCAACGCCTCAGTTGTATCAGGTGCAACAACAACAGCCCACTTCGTTTTTAAGCTTAGACCTAAGCAGCCTCCGTATCGCCTCCACAAGTCAGAAGTCAGTCTTCCTGTTCCTGGGTTTCTCCAGAAAGGATGTTGACGATGCCAAGTCAAAGCTGAAGGATCTGTATCAGGCTCAGTGCTCCACTCAAACCTTCAAAAAGGAGGAGCTGGAAAACCTCACCCAGGATGACATAAAGATTCTGGAGCAGCTGGTGGAGACTCACGGTCTGTACATGCAGAAGGACCAGTCTGGCCAGGGCTGTTTAACAGTGAGTGGGTTAAAAGATGGGGTAAACCAGGTGATGCAGATGATTAATGCCCATCTGCATGGCTGCCTCAGAAGAGAGGTGAGACTCAGGGATGAGGAGGATTTGTACAGCCGTGTGGCTTGGTGCATCCTGGGACATAACGGCAACTGGGAGAGACTCCCCAAAACAGCCAATCACAACCTGGAAAATAAAGATATAGCAGGAGGGATAGTGGACGCACAGAGCATCCAGTGGAGTGTGGATCTTCAGAGATTGTACGCCACAAGACGAGTAACTGGACAGACAGCGAAGCTGAAACGACTTGTGAATCTGCCAGGTGAGGAGATGAACATTGATGTTATGAAGTCTGACTGGTACTGTAGATTGAGACCAATATAAACCAATAAAACAATATTACTTTAGAATAATAAAAACCCAATAACATAATGGTTTTGTGGTCTCTAATTTAGAATCATTACAGAAATAAATATTTTACATAAAATAAAAAACAAATAATAAAAAAGTTATTCCTTGCTCTGGAACTCTCAGTCATATCACATGTTCTTCATCTTCAGATTTAGTTTGCCGAGTTGTCATGGAAATGTAGATCTTAAAATCTTTTTTTGTGAATCTGAGTTTCAAAGTAAAAAAAAGTTTTAATGTGCATGTATAATATTTGAATTACCATTAAATGTAAAGATCAGTGCTGCCAATTCAACATCTGTTTATGCAGTGTGCTGCTTTAGAATTTATCTTTTCAAACATATATTTTGAAACTGATACAGTATATCTGATCAATGTATTGGTTCAGCTCCATTTAAAAGTAATTTGTATTTAATTTTAAGAGACTATTCCGTTAAATACACACTTCAAGCAGCTCCATGAAAGATTTTCTTGTATCAAAAGTGAAAGTGCAATAGAGAAAATGGTCCCACCCTCTGTATTTTACCTGACTTAACCAAACAAAATTCTGACAACAAAACAGAATTTATGCATTTTGATTTAGAAAAACAGAAAACACATTTACTTACAATATCTGTAATTTTCTATCAATTTTGACTTTCAAGACTTTGATCTCCCTCTGTACTGGGACAACATGGCTACTGGTGAAGATTTTCAGACATTTGTGCTGCAGCATTCCTCTCCAGAGTACCGCACAGTGAAGGAGGCCTTCAAACGAACTGTCCCCAAGACTGTAATGAAGGTGAATGCAGTACTCAAAATTGTCATTTTGGCACCTTCCAGTTAAGCTCTATGATAGCTTTTATCAACAATATTTATGTTCTTAACGTGCAATCATCACAGTGCTTTTTTTTTTGATAGATCGAGCGCTTGCAGAATGTTCATCTGCGACGCGCCTACGAAGTGCAGAAGAAGCACATTTCTGATAAGAACAAACTGGAGGGTGGAGCAGGTGAAAAGCTTCTGTACCACGGGACAACCCATGAAAACTGTGACTCCATCATGAAAACTGGGTTCAACAGGCGCTTTGCTGGGCAGAACGGTAAAGATCTTTTGTGACCAGTTTACAGTAATATGTGATCATTATCTCAGCAGAGCTGGAGCTGGCCAAGAATAATGCAACAGTGACATCTGCAGACTGTGGCTGCTTATATGTTTCCTCCACATCTTTCTATTTATTCAGATCAAATCAATGTTGTTGGCTGTGTTTTAGAAAGAAAACACTTAAGAAAAAAGAGGGATGTTTAGGAAGAGAGAGTTTGTAGGATGAGATTTGTTGGGGATAAAAAGTTTGTTAACCTCTTATTAGCATCAGTTAGTTATGGAGAGCAGGGTCGTAGTTAACATTGAGGACTCTGAGATCCCATTTTCTGCATTTTCTCTGGGAATTTGAGGTGTCCTGGTGTTTACATTCAACAATTGAAACATACACATGGATGGACTGATCATATACGTAAAGCAGCTACAAGGAACTTTCATTTTGTGTTGATTCTGGCGGCCCCTGTGGACAAAAGCGGTAGCGTTTTCTACCACCTACATTTACTACCTATTTATCTGCCTTCTACATTTAAATTTAACTAACTTTAAGCAAAAGAAGCAAAAAAGGAATGGGAATTAAAAGGACAGAAATTTGAATTAGAAACTTGACTTTTGGTTTCTAGTGTCAAACTTTTCTGATGGTTACATTTATCTAGACTCAGTACCTCAGTATTTCTAAATTCTGTGAAAATCTACTAAACTGTATTCCTCTCTTTCCTACTTCTCGACTCTTTTCCTTTCCATTTAATTCAGAGACCATCCTTGTCAGTACTTTGTCCAAAGGCTAAAAATGGTTTACATTTTCCTAACCAGAAATGTCCTACGGTTTTGTAAGTGTCACCAGTAACCACAGTTTGCATCTTGTCTCCTAACAGCAGTCAACATTGGTTTCTTTAACCATGACCATAATGTTTTCTTAATCCTAGTTCCTTTAACTGTAGAACTGCAGTTGAGAAAACACTCACACAGTCTTTTTGTTTCTGTATGAACACTTGTATTAAGGACTTGCTGTTATTTTTTTTCCCTCTCATTCTCAGCAACTGCGTATGGTCAAGGAACCTACTTTGCCGTTAACGCCAGCTACTCAGCCAACCCCACCTACTCCAGGCCAGCTGCTGATGGTTCTCAGTTAATGTTTGTGGCCCGAGTCCTCACCGGCATCTTCACTGTGGGCCGAAGCGACATGAAGGTTCCTCCGCCACGCAATGACCAGCAGCCCCACAACCGCTGCGACAGTGTGGTGGACGCAATAGCTAACCCCAACATGTATGTTGTTTTCCACGACAACCAAGTGTACCCAGACTACCTCATCACCTTTAAGTGACTCTGAGGAGGGAGGGCATAGAAAAAATGCAGATGCTGATGATAATATATGATGGACTTATTACATTAAAGAACACATTTAGGCCACAAAACTAAACTGCACTAACATGTCAACATAAACACATCACACCACAGGATCCTTAAGTCCATACCAATAAAAGTGGATAAAATTGCACACAAACATAAATAACACGCACCAAGCATTCTTAAAAACCTCACACACCAAAGTCAACACTGGAGAATCCACTGTGAGCCGGACCCAGCATGCACCTGTTGGTCATGCAACACTGTGGGTGTGTTTGATTTGAGTCACTTAGTGTGCTGACTGTGTGGTTCATTAAATCAGTGCTTAATTAATGTAGAATCAGTAGGCAATTTGAAAAGGGGTGCTATCTCTATTGTAAGCAAAATGCCAATAACCTGCCATCTCTTCTCTTCATCCCCTGGTACTGAGGTGTGTAATAGGTGGACCACGGTTTGGGTTCGGACCCAGACCTGTAACCGGTACATTATTGAGAAAGTGAATAAGATATCAGAGACATCATAAAATTAGTTGAGACCGTTAATGTGTGAAATGGAGTTGACAAAGAAAAGATGATAGATTCTTCTTATTATTGTTGCACTATTCACAAACTGCCAGCACCCGGCCCAGCTACAACTGGACCTCTCACTCCACCTGCCGCTTGCCCAGTGACGTTTACATTGAGAACATATATTTCTGTGTCACTTCTCCGCAGCTGCAGACTCACCAGCAGCCTCCTTCTCTGCTGCAGCTGCAGATTTGCCTTCTTTTGTTTCTTTCTCACGAAATTTATCAGGAACTTTTCATGTGACTTGATTTTTTTGTAGTGAAATTACAATACTTGAGGTAAAAACAACAAAAAAGTAACAAGAGTAAATGTAATTTGTTACTTCTGAGAATAAAGTAAAGCTAAAATAAAAGATAAGCTCGATTGTTAGATAGTTAAGTTTGCTTAAAGTTATAGTTGTACAGTATGTGAAAGTATGTTTGAGGAAAATTTAACATAAATATATTATAATATATAACTGGAGTGTTTGAGTGAAGAATCTCAGAATTATTCCCCAGTTTAGGTCAAAACTGGGTTTTATGTTTAGCTGCTTTGATACCTGCAGGGGGATTCCTCTATGAACGAGGAAGCCGTAGTTTTGTTTTTGGCTTCTGAAGCCGTTAATAATTAAAGGCCCTCCAGTCAAAAATATGTTTTTCTTCTTGTTCCTACAGTTTGATGTTTGAGCTTCACTGTGCACAATGATGTGTGTGTGGAGTTTGGCACTAGAAGGATGTTTTCACATTCATCTGCTGAAAGTGGAAAGTTTCTCTGTGCTCATTGAAAATCTGATTTTAAGGGGCGGGGCCTACCAGCATGATTTGTGACATCACA